CCTTCCATGGACCATCCCTAGAGTCTCAGACCAGAGGTCTTCCCCCCCCCCTTTTTTTTTTATGTTTATGGTTTTGCTTTCCCCAGGGATCTGTTTGTCTCATTTCTCCATTCAGTTCTTCCAATTGGTCACAACTGTGTTCAGAATATCATTTCCCATTTTTACTTCTTCTGATTTGAAAGGGATGAAATCATCAGGATGTCCGTAATGTTTTACTTTAATTAGTTCCTCTGCTTTTAGTGGAGTGAGACTTAGAGCAAATAACTAGATATTTTAAATACCCTATCTTCACTGTAGAGCCATTTTTTTCTTGATTTTTCTATAGAGTCTAGCAAAATGCTTAGCATGTGGTATCTATTCCAAATATTTGTTGAATGAATGTGTAAATGCCCAAATCCCTCTGTGCTAGTCTGGACAGAAGAGAAAGAAAAGAGAATTAACTCAGTTTTATCCTGTCCTAGAATCAGAAGCAATAGCTTGCTGCAAAAGCATTAACTGCAGAACATTCAGCATTTTGTTTGTTTGTTTTTGGTGTCTGCCGGTACAGGTATTAGAACCCTTGACCTTGGTGTTAGAACCTTGTGCTCTAACCAACTGAGCTAAACAGCCAGCCCCTCAACATTTTTTTTAAGCACCAAAAATTAGTTTTTAATGCTTATAACAAGGCATAAAGGAGATCTCAGGACTGAGCATGGACTAGTCTGTGCAGATTCTTTTTTCAGTGCTGTCCAGGCACCTGACTTGCCTTAAGGAAAGCTACGTTTTCCCCAGTGTGTTCTCTGAGAAAAACCTCCTTATCAGGCCAGGCCAGGAAGTGGAACAAGGGCACTCAGCCTGCTCTCCTAGGCTTTTGAACTACATTTGTCCTGAGAGTGTTGTGAAAATAGTGGATAACTTAAACTATGTAATATTTCGTTTGTTTCTAATTTTTAATTTTAAATAATTATAGATCAACATGAAGTTGCAAGGATAGTGCAGAGAGGTCCTGTGTACTCTTCACCCAGGTTCATCCAGTGGTTACATCTTATTCAAATATAGCACAATATCAAAACCAGGAAATGGGTATTGGTATATTGTGTATGATTGTTCTTTGCCATTTTATCACATGTGTACATTTGTATAACCACCACCTCAATTAAGATACAGAACCATTCTGTCACCACAGACTTCTTCCTGGTGCTATTTCTTTATAGTCATTCCCACCTGGCCTCCATCCCCGTTACTAACCAGGCAGCCACTAATCTGTTCTCTATCTCTATAATTCTCTGTATTATTAAATGGAATCTCAGAGTATGTAACCTTCTGAGATTGTTTTGTTTTGTTTTGTTTTGTTTTTTTCCACATAGCATCATTCCCTGGAGAACCATCCAAGTTGTTTCTGTTTCTCAATACTTCGTCCCTTTTTATTTCTGAGTGTTCAGTGGTATGTATGTACCACAGTTTGTTTAACCATTCATCTATTAAAGGACATTTTGGTTGTTTCCAGTTTGGAGATGTTACAAATAAAGTTTCCATGAGCCTTCATGCACAGGTTCTGGTGTGGACATAAGTTTTCTTTCCCTGGGTTAGACACCCAGGAGTGTGATTACTGAGTTCTATGGTAAGTGTATGTTTTGATTTTAAAGAAACAATCGATTTTTCAGAGTGGCTGTACCATTTTACCTTCCCACCAGCAATGTGTGAGAGATCCAGTTTGTTCACATCCTCGCCATCTTTTGGTATTATATAATTTTTTTGGGGGGGATAATGGCTTTATTGAGATATAACTCATATCATATAATTCACCCATTTAAAGTGTGCAAATCAATGGTTTTTAGTATATTCACAGACGTGTGCACCCTTCAGCACAATCCATTTAGAACCTTTTCATCATCCCCAAAAGAAAGCTGGTATCCTTCAGCCAAACCCCCACCCTTGGGCCAGCCTGGTGGCGCACTCGATAGAGTATGGCGCTTGGGAGTGTGGTGGCGCTCCCGCCGAGGGTTCGGATCCCATATAGAGACCGGTCTGCTCACTGGTTGAGCGCGGTGCGGGCGCGACACCGAGGGTTGCGATCCCGTTACCGGTCACGGAAAAAGACAAAAAGGAAAAAAAAAAAAACCCACCCTTACACCCCCAGCCCTAGACAACCACTTATCTATTTTCTGTCTCCATAGATTTGCTTATTCTGGACATTTCATATAAATGGAATCATAAAATATGTGGTCCTTTGTGACTGCCTTTTTTCACTTAGCATAATGTTTTCAAGATTCATTCATGTAGTGCACATCAGTCCTTCATTCCTTTTTATTGCCAAATAATATATGATATTTTTAAAGAAATAAAAGCATGTTTCTTTCCATTACACAGGCTATAAACTAAGGAATAACAAAATGCAGCTACAGAGAGGTTTTGCCATGCCTACTTGGAGGTCTAGATTGCAATTAACCTAAATGTAAATTAATGCTATTTTAAGTCTTTAGCAGTTCTCTGTAAAGTATTAATTATGCTTTTTGTGTATTTAGCAACAATTCTGAGTTGTGGAACCCAAATAGCTTCCCTGAAATTCGATGAGGATCTTTCTAGAGAAGCTGTGTGCAAGGTAGTGAATGCAGCGATTCAGGCCAGGGACAGATCAGCAGACCACAGCAGTGTTCAGGAACTGGAAATAGAGCTGTGTATCAGATGTATTCATTACACGATCTTTCTGGGCCCTTTGCCTTCTGAACAACCTTGCCCTCGCCAAACACTCAGTTTACATACTATCTGATCTCCAGGTCAATGCTTATGGCCCAAGAAAGAAACTTCAGATACTACTGATATAGTCATAAGAACCATTTATTTAGCAAATATGTATTAATCATAAGTATTATGAGGCACAGAGGAGGATACAAAATGAATAGGTGTTCATCTTGCCTTCAAGACCTTAGTGTCTAGCCAGGAAAATAAGCATAGCCATAAATAACCTGAGTAGTTAAATGGGATGTGTGCCACTTTAAATATTATGAAATATTTTAACCATCCAGAAAATAACAAAGAATAAAACAACAAATACCCATGTACTTACCTCCTAGCTTTGTTTAATTTTAACATTTTTGCCATAGTTGCTTCAGATTTTTTTAAACCAATAAAGCATCTCAGATACTCTGCAATAAAAAGGAAGGAACTATTGATACAACTTAGATGAATCTCCAAGAAATTATGCTGACTGAATAAAGCCAGTCCTAAGAGCTTGCATACTGTATGATCCCATTTACAGGACATTCCTGAAATGGCAGGATTATAGAAATGGAAACCAGATTTACGGGGCCCGGAAGTGAAGGATGGGATGGGGGCTGCAGTGAGGAGAATGAAAAGGCAACATGAGGGATGCTTGTGATGGGCTTGTTCTGTATCTTGGTTGTATCAGTGTCTATATACTGGTTGTGATACTTTACTCTAGGTTTGCAAGTGTTACCATGGGGGAAACTGGGTAAGGGGTATGTGCAACTTCTTTTATTTCTTATCACTGCATGTGAATCTATAATTATCTCAAAATAAAAAGTTTAATTAAAAAACTCAAATACCATTGTTTCCTTTGATACTCTCCTTAATTCCATTCGCTTTCCATAGGTAACTGCTATCTCGAATTTATTGCTTATGTCCATGAAATTTTCAATACATGTGCTACATATGAATGTATCTTTAAACAATATGTAGCATTCTTTTACATACTTTAAACTTTAAAAATAGAATCACACTCTATGTACCCTTCTGGGACTTGCTTTTTTTTTTTTTCCTTTGCAATGTTTGTGGGGATATCCATGTCGATATATGAATGTATAGTTTTTTCATTTTTGCTGTTCAGAATTCCATTGGTGGTGGAATTGTATGATTATACCACAAGTTGTTAATCCACTCTCCTGCTAATGAACATCTAGGCTATTGCTAATATTCTGTTATTACTCACGGTGCTGCTGTGAACATTCTTGTCCACATTTCTTGCATATATGTGGAGAAATTTCTTGAATGTAGGAAATATCTGGGAGCAGAACTACTTGTCTTGACAGTGTGTGCATTTTCAACTTTTCTAGATATTACTAAATTGCTCTTTAGAGAGGTTGCAACAATTTACATTATCATATTAGTATAGAGACTTCTCACCATTCTACATCCTTCTACACTCTCACTGATACATTTTTATACCCTGCCGATCTGATGGGCATGAAATGGTATCTCATTGTGGTTTATTCACATTTGTCTTATTGCTAGTGAATTGATCACCTTAAATAAATTGTATTCTTGATCAGGAATAGCTGTAGAGAAGACGAATGTTTGAGGCTAGAGACACAGGAGGGAGGGGCACATTGGGTACAGAAGCACAAAGGCAGGAAATGACACTGCAGGTATGGAAAAAAAAGCACTTAACTCTTTCACTGGAGTAAGGTCTGTGAAGGGGAAAATGAGGTTGGAGTCAGACCACTGAGCAGCGAGGAGCTATCAATTACTTATAGCAGGAAATATTATGATCACATGCTTTGTTTCAGGGAATTTAAACTGAAAGCATGTCCAGGATGAATGGGTGTGGGTGGCAGCAGGGCAGAGAGGGGTTAGGATTTGGAAGGATGATCCTGGAGGCTACGGAAATAGCCAGGTGATAAGTAGTATGGACTGAACGGGGTAGTGGCAGAGGGGGATAGAGGAGGAAAACACTGGGAGATAGAAAGTGAAAGAGACTCAGCTGAACCAGATAAAGAAATCTGGATCAAGGGCTAGGGAGAAAATAGAAGAAAAACCAGGCAAGCACATTGCTGAATCCTGAGAAATGAATTCAAAATATCAACAATTATCTGAGCTGTTGTCTACCTTTCAATATTATTCAGGTATGCCCACAAATGCTAATAAACAGTTCATCTTGACTCTGTTTGTAGCTAAAGATGTTTTTAGACTTCTTGATGAAGGTTGTCTTTGAATTAGAGACAGCATGTCCCAATAGAGCTCTCTGAAAGTGAGCTGGGATGGTTTTCTGTTTTTCAGAACCTGCTGACATGGCTGATCATGGGGCAGATGAGCCATGCTCCAGGTCAGGGAATCCGGATGGGGAAGGTCAGGTCTGTGAGGACAGATCATTGATCCAACAGAGGCTGGCCATCAGCGAGCTGATCGACACCGAGGTCTCCTACTTGCACATGCTCCAACTCTGTGCCTATGACATCAGGAGCCGCCTCCAGCAGGTATTTAGGGGCACACACAGCCTGACTTTATAGGGGCAAATGTGAGTCCCAGCTTCTCAAACCGCACATTTATTCTTGGGCAGGCTCGATGGAAAGGAAGTGTGGTGGATGTGAAGTCTACAGATCTGGACGTAAGCCCCAGTTCTTCCATTTATTGGCCATGCAACCTTCAGCAAGGCATGGAATGGCTTAGAGTCTTAGTGCATTTATCTGCTAAATGGGGAGAGGAGTGATCACCTCAGAGAATTAAGTGAGCTACTGGACAAGCCCTTTTCAAGTTTAGAACAGATTGCTTGAACTGACCTGCATTCTGACTGTGCCATTTGCAGAGTAGTGACATGGAGAAATCATCACTATAATGGGTTTCTATTATAATGTTCTTTATTTAGATTTTTTTTTTTCTGGTTTCAGAAATAATGTGAGTACAGGCTATTGCTATAAAATTTCAAGCATCCGGGGCCAGCCCGTGGCTCACTCGGAAGAGCGTGGTGCTGATAACACCAAGGCCACGGGTTCGGATCCCATATAGGGATGGCTGGTTAGCTCACTGGGTGAGCATGGTGCTGACAATACCAAGTCAAGGCTTAAGATCCCCTTACTGGTCATCTTTAAAAAAAAAAACAAAAAACTCAAGCATCCCCTAGCGTGTGAGCTACATAAGGGCAAAGACTGTTTGGTTCATTATATCCCAGTCTTGACACATAAATACAATAATAGACTTTGAATTAGTGTTTCTTGAATGAATGAAATACTAAAGCAGATAATGTAGAAGGTGAAGGAGCTCTCTTATTTTACCATCCAGAAATTAGTATTTTTCTCAATAGGCATTAAACAAACAAATATATGTAGTTATTTATTTTAGCAAAAATAAGAGCATACTCTAGACATTGTTGTGCAGCTAGATTTCCCACTTGGTTGTGCATCCAGCACATCATTCCATACCCATGCATATATATAGTCCTGCATCTTTTTTACAGTGGCATCGCTTAGTTAATAGGGGTGAAGTTTAGAATTCATCTTGGGGTAATGGTGGTAGGTGCCAAGTATATCAGAACTGGAAAGAAGTCAGCTTTCCACCCTCACATGACAAGTAGGGAAACAGAAAGAAGAAAAATGAAAGTTGGCAGCAGACCGAGGATAAAACCCCAGTTTAGCTTTCCTTCCATGCTGGGTACTCCATCTCTTCCTCTCCTTTTGTGGAATAATGAAAATACCTAGATTATAAAATTTCACAATCCTTGCAAACATTCTACTGGAGCAGTCAGTCTGCCCAGGAGCAATGGGACCCTGATGGCATGAGTGTTCTGAAGTATCTCCAAAGCCTGCAAACAAAGTCACCTCACCAAAATCCCGATGACCTCCTATGGCTTCTTTGTTTCTTCTAGCTGCCACAGGAAGATCTGGATGTCCTGTTCTCAAACATTGATGACATCATCAAGGTAAACAGCAGATTTCTTCATGATCTGCAGGAGACAGCCTCCAGGGAAGAGGAACAAGTGTACTTGATTGGTGAGCAAAAAAACTAGGGAGTTGTTATCCTTAGATCCCTGTGGAATTGTCTTAAGCATGTGGTCATTGCTGTAGTGTCCCCAGAGTTTCAGAGACATGCAGCTCAATGGGAGTCTGTTTTGGGGATCCCAAAACACAGCATGTCAGAGCCAACAGGGTCATCAAATAATATCTAGTCCAACCCCATCATTTTACAGATGAAGAAACTGAGGCCCAGAGACAGGTAGGGACATTCTTACAGTCACATAACTGTTAGAAGCACAGTGGAGTCTTTAGTGTAAGTCTCTTTCACATTCATTCATTCAACAGTTATCTATGGAGCACCTGCAGTGTGCAGTCACTGTTCAGTGTGCTGGGGTCACAGCATCAAAAAGAGAGTCTGAGCTTCTGTTCTCATCAGTTTGACAAGTTGGTGAGAGAGACAGAAGATAAACAGATAAAAGAATTTTAGGTGGTAATTTGTAATTTGAAGAAAATACATAGTGGTAGTAACTTCTGGGTATGAGGGAAGGCCTCATGAGGAGGGAGCATTTGAGCTGAGACCTGAATGTTAGGAGGAAGCCACCATGAGACCATCTGGAGGGAGAGTAGAGAGTATAGCCATGCAAAGGCCCTGAGGCAGGAATGATCTGAATGTTTGAAGGACAGACAGAAGGTTGATGTAGCTGCAGGAGAATTAGTGAGGGGAGAATGTTAAGGGATAAGACAGAAGAGGCAAGCAAGGACCAGATCACACAGAGCCTTATAGGCCATGGTAAGGAGTTTGGGTTCTATTCTAAATGTGATAAGAAGCCATTTGGACAGTTTTGAGCAGAGAAGTGACATGGTCTGGTTTATGTCTTTCGAAGATCTCTTTAGCTATTGTGAACAATGGACTTTGAGGGAGTGTTGAGAACGGAAGCAGAGAGACCAGTTGGGGGCTTCACTGTGTCCCAGGTGAAAGATGAGGACAGTCTCCCTATTCTGGAATGGTTAGGATGACCAGAGTATAAGGAAGAGAAGAGCAGGTGCAAATCTCATACCTGTCTTCTTCAATCTCTTCCCATTTGCTGCCAGATGAATGGGTGCCAGGTGGCTGACAGGAGGAGGGAGTGAAGGTAGCCAGGGCAGTAGCCACCCAAGTCCCCCTGGCCTTTCCACCACCCATCTTCTACCCATTCCCAGATGTGAATGATGATGATGGGGATTCAAAATAACAAATAGGCTGTATTAGTCCATTTCTGTTGCTTATAACAGGAATATCTGAAACCAGGTAATTTGTGAAGGAATAATATTTATTGTTTACAGTTTCAAAGGCTAGGAAGCCCAAAGTCCAGGGAACACATCTGGTGAGAGCCTTTTTAGTAGTTACTAACTCTACACAGCAAGGCAGGGTCTCACATGGCAGGTGGTGGAGCTACAGAGAGAGCGAGCTTCTCATGCACTCCCTTTTTAAAGCCAGCAGAACCACACCCATGATCACCCATCAATGAATTCATCCATTCATGAGGACATAGTCCTCACAATCTAATCACCTCTTTAGGGCCCCACCTTTCAGTTACCATTATAGGATTTCTCACCCTCTTAACCCTGTCACAGTGAGGATTAAGTTTCTAATATATTCAACTTTGGGAGACACAATTCAATCCATAGCACATGCAAACACATTTTCAAAAACCACTTTCTGAGTGTTTACTCAATGCTAGTTACTGCACTGGGTATTGTGACCCGAATCACAGCAGAACTCTAGTTGGCCTCTGGGAGCGAGGGCTCTCAACCCTACATGGAATGGCTTGCATGTAGTACAGGGTGAGATTAAAGCCTGTGTATTGTGTGTTTATTGTTCTTTTGAAAACAGAGTTTTTTTCTTAAAATAGCAATGTGAATAAGTTACTATTCTTTATAAATGGTAGATGAATACAAAATTAAAGATTAAGATTTTTTTAAGTATCTGTACTAGATGTTCTCACTTTTTATCAGTTTATCCTTCTTATGTTAATAATTAACACTTATTTGAGTGGACATTGATAAAGCCTCAGGCTGGAGACTTTCTACAGGTCTGGCTCTGAAGTCAGGCTGTTCTGCTGGTATGTGTTTGAGGTTCAGTATGGTTTCTTGTAAGGGTCCACACTTGTCAATCTCTGCCTTCCTGCTGGACCCACAGAGTCAAGATGCTACTTTAACTCCTGAGTATATCTGGTGACATCTCTTAGCTACCCTCACTGCTTCTCTGGTAGGGTTTCCAGATAAAATATAGGACGCCCAATTAAATTTGAATTTCATATAAATAATGCAATAATAATTATTTTTAGTAAAGTATATCCCAAATATTGCATAGGGCATCCTTTTTATTTTTTATTTTTTTAATGCAGCTGGCTGTTACAGGCATCAAACCCTGGACCTTAGCCTTATCAGCACCATGCTCTAACCAACTGAGCTAACCAGCCAGCCTGCATAGGACATACTTATACTAAAAAATTATCATTGTTTACCTGAAATTCAAATTTAATTGAGCATCCTGTACTTTCTCCCTTCCCCCTAAATTTGGCAGTCCTGTTCCTAGCCTTTACCGAATTTTCAGAAAATACCCTCCTTATCCTTTGTCCCTTGTGGTTAGCCAACAAGAGGCACAAAGAACCCACATGGCGTTTCTTCTCCTCGGTGTAACCACATGCAGGTCAGGCTGCTCTGCCTCCTGCCAGCTCTCCCTCCATTCCCTTTCCAGCTCCCAGGCCTTGCTCTGCAAGGAAAGCCTTTTTCCCAATTGTATAGCAACAGCATTTTAAAAGATTTTTGGACCTCGGGCAAGACTGTCTTTAACAGCCTTTTTTCCTCCCAAGTAAGTCAGGTCCCCTGTCCCTATGAGCAATTTCAAACATAACTTAGACATTCACAGGAGTTCCCACACAGGGTTGTACTGCCAGAGGGCACCATGGTCGAGTGCAGCGCTGTCTGATAGAAATATAACATGAGCCACAATTTAATTTAAAATTTTCAAATAGCTATGTTAGGAAAACTAAGGAAATTAATATTAATGATATCTTTTATTTATCCCAATAGATCCAAAATAACATTTTAACATGTAATCAGTATAAAAATTATTCCTTAGATATTTTACTTTTGTTTTGTATGAAGTCTTTGAAACCCAGTGTCTTTCGCACTGACAGCACATCTCAGTTGGGACTCACCATATTTCAAGTGCCCAATAGCCACATGTGGCTGGTGACCACTGCATTTGGGCAGTGCAGGTCTAGTGGTTTAGAGCAGGGGCTATGGAGTCTGATTGACGATGCTCTGACACCCATGCCTCCTTCGTGTCTCTGAGCCTCAGTTGCCTCTTTAAAATGAATGTGAGGGCCGGCCCGGTGGCGCACTGGAGAGTGCGCCGCTTGGGAGTGCGGCGGCGCTCCCGCCAAGGGTTCGGATCCCATGTGGAGACCGGTTCCCGCTCACTGGCTGAGCGCGGTGCGGGCGCAACACCGAGGGTTGCAATCCCGTTACCGGTCAGTAAAAAAGACAAAAAGGAAAAAAAAATAAAAATAAAATAATAAAATAATAAAATGAATGTGAAAGTAGTACCCATCTCTGTGCCAGCCATGATGCTGAGTACTTAACATGCAGTAGCCCTTTTTATTCCCATAACACTGTTACTGTTGATTATTATGTCCATTTTACTGAAGAAAAACCTGAGGTTCAGAGATGTTAAGTAACTTTCCCAAGGTCACACAGCCAGATCAGGCAGTTAGTATTTGAATCCCCCTCCTTCTGTCTCTAGAGCACTAGCTCTTGACCATCCTACCTCCCTTTCTCTTCTTACTGACTAATCCCAGCTAGATGTAGTGTGTCCTTTCGATGATGGTAGTAATTTCTTTGCTAATTGGTGACTGTAGAAGGAAAAGAAGGGAGAAAATATGCCTTGACTTTGGTGTCCTGGGCATGCTGGCCTCTTTGGACAACTCTGTTCTCTGGGAGTTCACCTTCCTCTGCCCTTCAGTTATTGAGACACCCCTGCCCCTGGCCACACTGGTATGATACAGCTTCTTTGGCTTGTTTGTCATGTTCCTGGGGACATATTCATGATGAGCAGAATGTGGGAACCACCCTAGGTTTTATTTCCACACCCAGGCTATCCCCTAGAGGGAGTCATCTGTGCCGTTGGCTGATTGCCTCCCTCCCATGCACATTCTCCCTAGCTGCAGTTTCGGTCGTGTGCTCCTCGGCTCTGGGAGCTTCTCCTGGGAGTTCTCTCTGAGGATTGGCTGGACTGGCACCGGGGAAGGAGTTTGGTCCTCAGGTAGTAATCTCACCATGGGGATCTTTGCTGAGAGCTGAACTGCTCTCATTTGGGCACCATCTGATGTGTCCCAAGAGGAGCTTGGTTCAGGTCAGAGATCCAGCCCATGGCTTTGGCAGGCAGTAGTGTCAGCTGTACTTCCTGGGGTCCCTGGCTCCCCACCTGCCCTGTTGTGGTTAGTACCTTTCTCTTCAGCCTCACCACTTCCTCCCTAGATGGGCCACCACATACTCTTACCTGGGTATTTCTAACAACTATTCCTGATCCTTAGTTTAGTCTCAACATGGTATTAATCTTTTTTTTTTTAATTAATAGACTTTATTTTTTAAGAGCACTTTTAGATTTATAGAAAAATTCTGTAAAAAGTACAGGGAGTTCCCATATACCCCCTATCGCCCCACATAGAGTTAACCCTATTAGTAACATCTTGCATTAGTGTGGTACATTTATTATAATTGATGAATGAATATTAACATATTATTAGTAATTAAAGTCCATAGCTTACATTAGGGTTCACTCTTGGTGTTGTACGTCGAATGAGTTTATTTTATTTTTTGGCAGCTGGCCAGTATAGGGATCCGGACCCTTGACCTGGGTGTTACAAGGCTGTGCTCTAACCAACTGAGCTAATGGGCCAGCCCCATTCTATGGATTTAGACAAACGTATAATAACATGTGTTCTCCATTGTAGTATTATCCAGAGTATTTCCACTGCCCTAGAAATCCTCTGAGCTCTGCCCATTCATTCCTCCCTCCCTTCCAGGCCCTGGAAACAACTGATCTTTTTATTGTTTACACAGTTTTCCCTTTTCCAGAATGTCATATAATTGAAATCATGCAGTGTGTAGCCTTTTCAGAGTGACTTCTTTCATCTAGCAATGTGCATTTAAGCTTCCTCCATGTCTTTTCCTAGGTTGATAGATCATTTCTTCTTTTTTTTT